GGGGGCAATTGTCCCCCCCCCCCCAGATATATAGTTAAAAAAGGCACTGGCATGACCTGCGAAGCATATGGTTACCATATGGAGATCTCAGAAACCACCCCCTTCCACCCTTGCATCTTATCGGCTTATCCTCCACACCCCCCTAACACGTCATATTGAGCCACGAGGCATAACTAATTTGTTGTATTTATACTAAATAGTGTAATTGCAAACTGATATGGAATCAAATGACTATAAATCGAATCACTGATCGAAATTTGCACTGTCACGTTGTTACAAGACAAAGTTCACAAATTTTGATGCTTTTTTTTAAATTACGCGAAGAAATACAATACATTAAAATATGTTGATTGGCCTAGTTGGTTTGTACAAAATACGAGTGAACACTGCTGGTGGCTGTATTCAAATATTCATTCAATGTTTCTGAGTAGAGCACTCCATAGTTTAAAACAATATCTAATTTCAAGAAATATGGTCGAACCAAAAATAAAAGAGTTTGGCTACAACTTATGTCGTAAATATCTTGGCGGTGAATGGAAGGAGGTACCTTTAACAAAGTTTGAAATAGAACGCGTCCAGTAAGTATCAATGTTGTTGCGTAATAGATATTATATGAGATTATAAGTTATTGTTTTTGGACCCCGTACTTGCAAACGTGTCTTCAAAACAATGATTTGTACTAGACAATGTTGAGACTGCTTAAGCCCACTAGTCAAGATCTTGTGGCGTAGTTATTATTAGCCGAATTTGCAGAGCTTAGTATGTGTTTACAAGGACAACCTGGCTGGCCTGGCTATTGAGATCCCCATGCCGGGGAGATGGGGTTACACAGCATGAGGTTACACAATTTGTGTAAATTGGGGTATTGGCGTAAAACCTGGTTTCCATTAAACCATGAGAATCACAAGAGTCGCACAATCACAAGAATCGGACCACGACAATTCAATTGCAATATTTGCGATTTAATGGAAGCCAGACTTAAGATTACTCAAAGTCATTGGCATGAGATTACTTTACAGTCTTAAAAGCACACAGGATTGTCTATTTTGACATGGGTTTTTAAGTCCCCCAGAAAGTAAACTTTTTTGACATGTTGGCATGATGAAGGACAAATGTTGGCATATATCTACATCATAAAGTTTACATGGAATACACTGTGGTCCCTCTGCAAACAGACAAGATCTCAGGGGCTGAGATCCACACTTCCCAAGGCTGGCGCAGTTGCCAGAATGAAAGTACAAAGAGAGATGTCACCCTAATTAATTATTGTTTGAAAAAAAATCCTTTACCCATTGAGTACGAGCACTCTACCCTTGACAATTAGTAAAGTTGTCTAATGTTAGACAGTCTGAGTAAAATGATAAAAGTAGGTGCAATGCGTTGCACTCTGGTGCATGGATGATTTAATTACTCGTCAATGGAAGAGTGCTAGCTAGCACTCAATGGTGACCTTGACAAGTAAAATTGTTTGGCATTGGCAGAGTAAAAATAATGAAGTAGAGATGAATAGCTTTGAGTGCTAGCACATTGGATTGAGTAAAATTATCATTGATAAAGTAGTGTGCATCAGGGGCAATGCAATTTAATGAATTCAGGGCCGTCCTCAGAGAATTCTTCAGGGGGGTGTAAGGTCATTTCAACCGACCAGCACCTGAAAAATGTTTTTTTCTGAAAAACTTATTTTTGGCGACCTCCCCCCCCCCTCCCCCGTCGCCAAAAAAATTTCCGAACTTCAGAAGTTTTCTCCACTTATCAAAAAAAAATTTCGAAAATTCCGAAAATTTCTAGAATATTCGAAATTTTTGTAAATATACCTCGTTTTTTTCCAAAATCATAGTTATTTTTGTAGATTAACTTTCTCTTGCCCTAGGAATTACCTGAATTTGCGTTAATTTAGCCGATTTTCTTCTGCAAACCAACAGGTTTCTATCTTGCCCTTTGCACGAAAATATGTAACCCAGATAGCAGTTCTACTGACTGAATAGCAGCCCTGCTGACTGAATAGCAGTCCTGCCGAGTGATTAACATTTCTGGGGGGTGTCATCCCCCACACCCCCCGTATCTCCGGGCCTGAATGAATTAACTAGACGCATGGGCAGATACAGTACTGTACTCCCGTTGGGAGAAAAATTGTCAGGCATAATATACCTGTAGGGTGAATTGATAAATAATAAAGACAAAGTAGGGCGGCCATAAAGTAGGTTGCAATGCAATGGTAACGATACAAGAAAGGCAAATTTGCGTTGGGATATATGAATATAACTGAGAGAAAATGACTAAGTCACATAATTATATACCAAGGCGAAAACAAAATTGTGAGGGAGCTGACCAAATTGTGCCCAACATTGATAAAAATTGTGCGACCTATATACAAGAAATGTTTCCGTCATATTAAACTTACCAAAATTTTTGTCGGCAGGGAGGGTGCCTTTCCGACCATAGAGATTATGAGTAACACTAGAGGGGGCAACGTAATCTAATAATTCAGTCAAAGAAAGGGAACATGGCTATGGGGGGGGGGGGAGTTAAAATGCTGAAATAAGAGCGAGTTTGAGCCTACATCTCTAAATTCTTGTTTATGGCAGTTAAGTAGTCCTGTTTTGATTTTTACCAATCATTTTTACCTCAATTTTGTCTATAACACATTCTTGAGAGTGCTTCAAAATAATGCTGATATCTTTTCAGGAGGAATTAATCATTTGAATTCAAAGTAATGACATGCAAAACATATAAAACACCCAGTTTTGCGACTCTTGTTTATATTTTTCTGGTTTGAAGTGTAATTATCCAAGAATTGTGTTGTGCATGGGCAGATTTACATGTGCGGTTGTGGGGAAGGGCTTAAACCCCGGGGCCTAGAATCTCTAACCCCTCTTATAAAGTGTTCAACCCTACCGAAATTTCGCTTCACCCCTCAGGACTATTTTGTGTGAAAGTCTTTAACCCGAATGCCTAACTCCTGCCGAAGCTTGCTCAGTGGTGCCGCTTGCACCCCACTAGAAATTTTTCCACCTCTCCTTTTAAAAAAATGAAAATCCGCCCTTGATGTGGTGTTCATCCGGGATTTCAATTTCCTCCCCATTACCGCACTCCCAAATTTCACCCTCAATGAATGTCCCTGCTAGTGTTATTTAATATAATCTCTATGTTCCTGACAAGGAAATTTTTTTCGGTTGCGTGAGGGGGCTACAGCGCCTTGCCGACAAATCTTTTTAATACGCATCATCAATAATGCTTTACAATACAACGGTAACTCCGAATAAAGTAAGCATTTTGATTCAACGTTTCGACTTTATTTAGTCATCATCAGGAATGGTTATATTACAAGTGCATGCGTTATATATACTCTACGTAATTTGATATATAATTAAAAGAAAACCGATAGTTCTCTGGATGCTTTAGTCCCATGATTCAGTTCCGGTTTTTGTCGATGAATGGCGAGTGCTTCTTTGAACAGCAAATTTGACCAGTGCTTAGCCCTGTCTACGATGTTGCAGTTGTTCAGTAGGAAGGCTGTTAGGTTAAATTTTAACCTTTCTCCTCTATTAACTATGATATAACGCATGCACTTGTAATATAACCATTCCTGATGATGACTAAATAAAGTCGAAACGTTGAATCAAAATGCTTACTTTATTCGGAGTTACCGTTGTATTGTATTTTATGAAAATACTCAGTGGTTCCCGCAATTATCAAGACAATGCTTTCCTTTTATTATTTGCCCGATGATGGACAAAAATATCAATGGTTTTTGAAGATGGGAAAAAAATACTATTCCCATTTGTAAAACCATTAGGGTAATTCCATGGTAACGGATGTTACATTTAAATAATTTTTCAGACACAAATCATCTTATATCTCTTCAGCTATAATATGTTGACCCACACTTTTTTCTACAATAATTAGTAATTGCAACATCTATCTCATGAAAATGTTCAATTTACTGAAATCTGCCGTATTTGGGTACAATCGGTATTTGAATGTGTGTGACGGGCATTACACAAAATGGACCAATACTTTTAGCGCATAATTTGTAATAAATTTTGTCTTCAAACTTTAGTAGACAAGTTAAAATATTTATGACCCAACATTTAACCACAAACTGAATTATATATGATGAATTATACAAACTGAACACAAACTGAATTATATTATACAAATAATGAATGTTTATGAGTGCAATGGTAAGAATATTTTCATGAGGTGAAAGATGGAATGTTCCATTCAACGAGGCGACAGCCGAGTTGAATGGAACATTCCATCTTTCACCGAATGAAAATATTCTTACCACTGCACGAAGAAACATTCATTATTTGTTTTATATTATACCAAAATAGACTAATAGATTCGTATAAGAAGCATTTTGAGGGATGCGATTTATCGAAAACA